TTCCCAAATTGACCTCTTCCTAAAAATCACATTTATCCCATGTTCGTCCACCTGAGCTGTTAACATCTCCAATAACTAGACAGTCACCATTTGGGAAACAGTAATTGTTGCAGGCAAGATTCATCAATGGATGCTCAAATTCATGGGTGGAAAGTATGATGAGAAATGGTATTTACGTAGTCTCAAAGTCTCCCCTTACAAGAAAAATGTTCAGTTTTGTAACATTCCTAGTAATGTTAGTGGAGAAACCTAGTAGATGCAACCATAAGCAAGTGATCACAGAGTTACTATAATCAGTTATGAGACGTGGACGGACATCATCATGTATCTTCTGGTATGAGGCACTGAGAAGGGCACAAGATTACTTGTGTGTTGTGCTTGCCAAAGTGCTTAACCTGAATTTATTTCTGAGGAAGCATTAGAGAAACCCAGATTGAAGGACATTCTACAAAATAACTGGCCAGTACTCTTTAAGTGTCAAGGTCATGAGAGACAGACTCTCCCAGATGGGAGGAGACAGACAACTGCATCCAAGGTGTGATCCTGGACCAGAGAAGGATCATCAGTGGGACACAATTGGCAAAACATTTATATAAGATCGGGTCTAGATTATTTAATATGTTTTGTGTTGATGGTTAATTTCTTGGTTTGATCATTATGACTGTGGTTATATAAGATGTCAACATTTGGGAAAGTTGGGTGAAGTATACACAAGAATTCTTTGTACTATTTTTGGAATGTTTTGTGACTCTTAAGTTGTTTAAAATGAATTTAAGCAATAACAACAAAAAATAATTCAACTCAGCTGAGAGAAACTAAGACTTTCAGGTTTTTACCTTGTGACATCTCTCTTGATCGGTCAGGGGCTTGTTTTCTTTGCCTCCTAAATCTCCACTATGAGCTGGATAGCTGACGTTTCTAAACGAGGGAATTGGGGAGAAGTTAGCCATTACTATACTGGATTGCAACTACACTTTTTGAAAAGTTTTGCTTAATTCATTAATTTACTTATTTATATTTGTACAGAGCTGTAATTACATCTTTGGGTTTCCACTGGCTCTGTAGGTTATTTGAGCTTTGCTGCTGTAGTCACCAGAATCCCTACCTGGAAACTTAGCTCTGTAATTAATTTACTCGTTTGTTTCTGTTTTTATTATTACGTTCTGAATTCAGGTTAGTGTCATGGATTCTTATGTGATGGGTCAATTATTACTGAATTTTATATTTATCGATTGTCTCTTAGGAAGAGCTGAGTTTTGTAGAAAATATTTAAACTTGAAATATGCTAAATATCATATTTTTCCCTCAGAAAAGACAGTCTGGAGTTTTATAAATATAATGAATAAGTAAACTGACACTGGCATAAGCACCAGGTGGTAACCTTTTATTGGTTAATAATTAGAATGGAGGAAATTAATACATTGGGAAATGTTTCTGTTAGCAAAAACAGTTGTTAATGTATGACTCATAGATTTTTAAGTCTGGAAGAAACTTGATGAGGCTGTTTTGATCAGTGTGGAAGAGGGGAAGACCATGGACTAGGGAGTCAGAAGACCTAGTTTTACATCCCAGACCCATCATTGCTCGTTATTGTCTCAGGTCATTTTACTTTTCTGAGCCTTAAATTTCTCATCTGTAAAACTGGAAAAATTGTATCTTACAAAGTTACTGTGAAAATTACATGAAGTAGCATGCAGTGTCCTTGGCCTGATGTAGGCATTTCATATATGCTGGCTCTGTTCTTGCTTCCAGCTAGGTTTATATAAGTCATCTGCAATGGATGAGAATCTGCTTTGCTTTTAAAGACCTATGCAAAGATGCATGTGTGTGATGGAATATTACATAGTCATAAAAAGGGATGGGACGTGCCATTTAAAAAACTTTTTTTTAATAGTTTATTTTTTTTATTTTGACTTTCATATGTATTTTTATTTTATTTTATTTATTTATTTTTTTACAAATAGTTTATTGTCAAATTAGTTTCCACGTAACACTCAGTGCTCATCCCCACAAGTGCCCTCCTCCATGCCCATCCCCCCCTCCCCCCACATCCATCAGTCCTCAGTTTTTGTCAGCATTCAAGAGTCTCTCATGGTTTGCCTCTCTCCCTTTCCCCCACCATTTCCACCCTTCTTCTCCCCCTTGTTCCTCCGTCAAGTTCCTCCTAATCCTCCTATACGTGCAAACATATGATATTTGTCCTTCTCTGCCTGACTTATTTCGCTCAGCATAACACCCTCAAGGTCCATCCATGTTGCTACACATGGCCAGATTTCATTGTTTCTCATTGCCATGTAGTATTCCATGGCATAGATAAACCACATCTTCTTGATCCATTCATCTGTTGATGGACACTTAGGCTCTTTCCATGTTTTAGCTATTGTGGAGAGTGCTGCTATGAACATTGGGGTACACGTGCTCCTATGCCTCAGCATTTCTGTATCCCTTGGGTAAATTCCTAGCAGTGCTATTGCTGGGTCATAGGGGAGTTCTATTGTTAGTTTCCTGAGGAACCTCCACACTGTTTTCCAGAGGGGCTGTACCAGTTTACATTCCCACCAATTTAATAGTTTATTTTTGAGAGAGAGAGAGACAGAACATGAGCAAGAGAGAGGCAGAGAGAGAGGGAGACACAGAATTTGAAACAGGCTCTAGGCTCTGAGCTGCCAGCACAGAACCCAATGCAGGGCTGGAACCCACAAACCATGAGATCATGATCTGAGCTGAAGTTGGACGCTTAACTGATTGAGCCACCTAGGCTCCCCATGGGACGTGCCATTTTTGACCAAATGGATGGACCTATATAAGTCAGACTGAAAAAGACAAATACTATATGATTTTACTCATGTGGGATCAAAAAAAAATTTAAATGAATAAACAAAAAGCAGAATCAGGGCTATAAATATAGAGAACAAAGTATTGTTTGCTAGAGGGGATGCAGTGGATGGATGGGCAAAATGGCTGAAGGGGAGTAAGAGGTACAGGCTTCTTTTTACAGAATGAATAGGTCATGGGGATGAAAAGTACAGCATAGGGAATATAGTCAATGGTATTGTAATAAGGTTGTAAAGTGACAGTTGGTGGTTGTGTTCAGGGTGAGCACAGCATAATGTATAAACTTATGTTTATACACTTGAAATGTGTTATACACTTGAAAGCAATATAACATTGTTTGTCAACTATACTAAAAAAAAACAATAATAACAAAACTCCGAAAAACAATAAAACCACAAAGATGACAGCATGTGTCAGTGATCTCTACCAGTATTTCATTGGGTCTTTTTGTTGGGAAGTTTTTCCATATTTCTTATTCCAGAGAAATTACTTTCTTTTATATGTCAGCCATAATTGGCTGTATCCCAGGGTCTGTTAGATAAGCATCACTCTTTGGTAGACTTTCCTTGGTGTTTTCATGTTTTTATCTGAAATCATTTGATGTAAGTAAGTATTAAAATGCTTTCAGAAGAATTTTTTTTTTTTATGAGACAAAGGGACAACGAGTTGTATAGACAATTAGAAGGAAGCACTTCTGTGTTCAGTTTCCTTTAAAGTCTTAGGCTTGAGTTGACGTTTTGATCCTTGGAGAGAAACCAGTTATTCCTAAAATGCCAGTTACTGTTTTTGTCTTATTCCAGTTTCAAAATTCCTTTCCTTTATTCTTAAACTATCTGATTTTGACTTTGTACTGCGGTGACGAAAATGAATATCATTATTTTTAGGAATTACACCCTGAAGTGTTTAGCACTAATGGGCATGTCTGTGGCTTACTCTTAGATGATTAAGAGATAGAGTGGGGGAGAATGATATAGTAGCTGTGGCAGTGTTAACTGGTGAAGTTGTTTTGGGGGAAGGGAGTTCTTTGTGCTTCTATTGCAACTTTTATCTAAGTTTAAAACTATCCTGGGGCATCTGGGTGACTTGGTCAGTTAAGCATCTGACTCTTGGTTTCAGCTCAGGTCATGATCTCATGGTTTGTGAGTTTGAGCTCCACATTGGCTCTGTGCTGGCAGTGCGGAGCCTGCTTGGGATTCTGTCTCTCTCTCTCTGCTCCTCCGTTGTTTGTTCTTTCTCTCTCTCTCTCTCTCTCCCTCAAATAAATAAACTGCAAAAAAAAAAAAAAACCTATCTCAAAATTATATTGGGTTGAGTCGTATCCTTGTTACCCTGAGGAGGTGTCAGTAAGTGGCAGTTTTGGGGTGAGGGAGGTTAGAAGCCCTGGGTAAGCATAGAATAAGTGACTAATTCAGTTAAGTAGTAATTTACTGGGGAAAAAATTAGTTGTTCCTTTAATTTAACCATTTTTCCTTAGCCAGAAGAGAATTCTTTCCTTTTTTTTTTAATAGAAGGACCAATATAGAGAGTGAGCTACTGCTGTATCAAAGCAGGGAAAACTACTTGGAAAGGGAAATCAGATGGTAAAAAGTAAGGAAGGTTTAAATTGTATTTTTACAAGACCCATACAAGAATAAGCAGAATGGATAAGGCAGAAATATTAGGACTTTAAAAACTATCCAGTTGTGAGATAATGTTTCTTCTTCTTCAGAGATGCAAATTAGTTTTCTGTAATTAAGGACTCTTAGGGGCACCTACGTGGCTCAGTCAGTTTAGTGTCCGACTTTGGCTCAGGTCATGGTCTTGTGGTTAGAGGGTTTTTTGTGGTTAGTGGGTTTGAGCGCTGCATCAGGCTTGTCGCTGTCAATGGGGAGCCCTCTTCGGATCCTCTGTCTCCCTCTCTCTCTGCCCTTCCCCTGCTCGTGCTCTCTTTAAAAAATAAATAAACATTAAAAAAAATTAAGGATGCTAACCTGCTAGTTAATATATATTAATTTATCTTTTATTTTAAATTGCTATTTGATTTCAAAGTTAATATTTAGTAGTATTAATAAAAATTTACATGATATTATGCTTTTACCCTTCAAAAATTGTCTTCTAACCAAAAATTTTTTTAACTTTCTCCTTCTTCTTTCATGTCCACAATGACATCCCTTTTGGAAACTCAGAAGCCAGCCAAAGGTAAGAGATTTGGTTTATTATAAATGCTTGTGAAGATCTTAAGTGCGTAATTTTGAAGAACTGGTAATTTTCTTCTCAGAAATATTTTTCCTCTGTGACTTTTGTAAAAGTAATACAAGCTGTCAGCCTGTTCATAAATCCAAAATCATTTATTGGCATAGGAGGGACTGGAGGTTTATGGAAAAGCTGTATTTGTACTTTGACCGATTCTAGCCAGTTTCCTGGCAACTATAACACAGATTCCTTTTGTGCTCTGCTGTTCACATGGATTGGCTTGAAACCAGTCGTTCCAGACTGTGGTCAGAACTGTGCTAGGCAGACTCATCCATGTTGCTCCTGAGACTGCTGGGGACACATTCTCAGGCCAACAGAAAGCTTCCCTGACCCACAGCTTCGTCAGGCAAATGTGCTGTCATCTTAGATTTGAGCCCAGATTCTAAAGAAACTTCAGTGGAGCGCATCAGTATCTCTTAAGGAATTCATAGGTGTGCTGAAGTGGGCACAAAGGCTGTATTTTTGCAGTGACCATTTGCTGCTATTACTTGGAACTTGTCAGGAAATTCAGATTTTTATCTACGTTCTTGGAATTTTGTTTTTGTTGTAAGAGTCTGTGGTTAAATTGTACTTCCATTCTCTATTATTATTGCTAAAATATGTATAGGCATGGCTCTTTGGGACTGAATAATTTTTTAATAGTTTAATGTGGCACTGGATTTCTTTATAATTGTAAAATTAACTTTATTAGCTTTATTTTTTGTTTTCTTATTTTTTCATGGAGCCAGAGACTGAAGATTGCAGTAAAGATGTGAGGAAACATTACATGACCATTTAAAAACTATTCATGTTTTATTGAATTCAGTTGTGTCTTCATGTTTAGAGAAAATGTTTTGCTGACATAAAAAGTATGGAAGGACCAACACCACATTACTAACATAGTGGTTACCTCTAGGGAGAGGTGTGCCTGGTAAATGGGAGACCTTTACTTTTTACTTTGTTTTTGTGTTATTTGACTTTGTGCAGTGAATGTGTGTTTCTTTACTGTTACTTGGGGAAAAAAAGGTTTTTTTATTTGTTTTTAATTTTAAAGGAACAATATTTAGAAAGAAAAGGGCTTGTCTGCTTTAGGACATCCTTGGCTGAAGATTCTTATAAAAATTGAAAGATTCCTGCAATAACAATATTGCCTAAACTTAGAAGCATTCAGCATTGTGAGTAAATAAGAACTAAGTGTTCACTAGTTCCAGACTTTATACCAGACTGTGGCACTTTCATAAAATCTGAGGAATAGAGGTAATCCAGCTTGCTGATGGAGAGCCTAGTGATAAGCAGGCCCGAGCCAAAAGGCTGGTTTCCAATCCCAGCTCCCACACCTGCCAGCTACCAGATTTCTTTATTTCTTTGTACCTCAGTGTCCTGTGAACAGGGCCTAGCACCTGTATTGATTAGTGGTTACTGTAATGGTAATATCTCTACTGCAACTGAGAGTTAGAAATGCAGTTGTTAAAGAAATTCCTAAATTAAAGAAAGAAAAGGGAAAAAAAAACCCCATAATAACAGAGAGGAATGCCGTTTTGAGCCTCCTCTTTGGTAAGTGCACGCATATGGTGATGGCGCCTTTGAAGTGAGAGCTAAGCTTACAGAGCAAGAAGCTGGATAGTTTCTACTTAACCTAATTAAGAACAGAATTAAATAAAATGGTAAGAGATGAAAGTTCAAAGCTAGAACAGAAGAAACCTAATTTGAACTTCACCTTTCATTTATTCTCACCATGCTGTAATGATTGTCAGTATGGCTGACAAATGGAGTTTGAAAAGGAGCCCCGACCTGAAATTGTGACACACAGACCTTTGGGACAGCCTTCTATCTTCCTTTTTTTCCTCCTCTCCCTGTTGGAGTCTTGCTAACCCAGCGAGCCACCACTCTTAACAGATACATGTCGAGCTTTGTATGTTTGTATCAGTAACATACAACATAGTGCTTTGGCTTCCGGGCTCCAGGGCTCCTGCCTCTTCCTGGGTCTTGCCAGCCATTGGGCTTCCCCTTGCCTTCTTTGCCCAGCTTTCCCATCACTGCCCCCTCCCAGGGAACAAACGCCTCCCCTGCCTGCTGTTTTGCAGAAAGATATGTATGTTCTGATCATTCCCTGCTTCAAAGGTCTTTTTAACCAGTCATCCTAGCAACTGCCCCCCCGGGTGCTCTCATGCCCATTTACATGTTCTCCCCGTGTCCTCCCAGAACTGCTCCTCCCTTTTCAGCCATCTTCTTCTGCAGTGTTTTGGCCTGTGATCTCCACGTGGCCCCACTCTGCGCTACCTGTCCCCCATCAGTCTCACTACAACTCTTTTTCAGAGAGTCTCCATTTCTCATGCAGGTAGAAGCAAACAGTCTAGCTTTTAAAAACTTGCTCTCCTTTCCCCCCTTCTTTCCCTTTTGACCCTTTCCCTTCTCTCCATCCATCATTTTGAGCCAAATTCAAGTGGGAGGGGGATATAGGCATGCATACTTAGTTTACTTACCATCTTAATCTAAATCCTTTCTTTAAAAAAATTTTTTTTTTTTTAACTTTTGGAACTTTGATCCAGGTAGTGTTGTGAGTTTACACAGATGCACTCTCCTGCCAACTCCAAACTCCTAGCAGGAACAGATAAAATATTTTAAAATACTGAAATCATGTCATTGCACTCAAAACCAAGATAATGTGGGACGCCTGCCTGGCTCAGTTGGTTTAGCATCTAACTCTTCATTTTGGCTCAGGTCATGATCCCAGGGTCGTGGGATTGAGCCCCCTGTCGGGCTCTGCACTGATCTTGGAGACTGCTTAAGAATCTCTCTCTCGGCAAACCATGAGAGACTCTTGAATGCTGACAAAAACTGAGGACTGATGGATGTGGGGGGGAGGAGGGATGGGCATGGAGGAGGGCACTTTGGGGATGAGCACTGAGTGTTATGTAGAAACTAATTTGACAATAAACTATTTGTAAAAAAAAAAAAAAGAATCTCTCTCTCTCCCTCCCTCCCACCCTCCCTTCCCCCCCCCCCCCCCCTTCTCTCTCTCTCAAAAAAAATTGCTTCAAAATCAGCGTAGTGTAACTTTAGGGACTAGCAGCAAGCTGGGGCTGAAGCACTGTGTTTACTGGACGTTGGGATCAGACACAGGTTCTCAGAAGTAAGTAGAGGTTCACCTCTTGCAGATTAGAGGGGTCCCTGATGTATGAGTGAGGACTGGAGAACTCATCATGTGAACTCTGATTTGAGTGAGGCTCCAACATGAATGAAGTGTTAAGAAAAAGATTTTGGCCACCAACATTGAGCTAGCTGTCTGTAAATTGGAGGGTGTGGAGACATTGGACTTTGGAAAGACCAAAATCTGGGCTTCAGTAGCTGGGAGTGTCTGTGTGACTAGTCATGCAAAGGTGGCCAGAGGGAGAGGAAAAAAACAAGTAACCACGTAAAGCATAAAACACAAACTCCCGATTCAAATGCACTTGCAAACTAACATATAAAGGCCCAAGAGGAAAACTGTCATCAGGAAGTGAGGCAGCAGATTCCCAAAATTGGAGAGTTTGAACTACAGGCTGAGATGATTTTAAAAACAATTAGAGGGGTGCCTGGGTGGCTTAAGCGTCCGACTTTCGCTTAGGTCATGATCTCGCGGTTCGTGGGTTTGAGCCCTGCGTCGGGCTCTGTGTTGACTGCCAGCTCAGAGCCTGGAGCCAGTTTCAGAGTCTGTGTCTCCCTCTCTCTCTGACCCTCCCCTGCTCACGCTCTCTCTCTCTCCTAGAAATAAATTAAAAAAAAAAAAAAGAATAAAAACAATTAGACTTTATAAAACATGAAATCCAAAAAAGAAAAATCAATGGAAAAAACTTGAAGATTTCAAAAAAAAAAAAAGCATGCATATTTTGGAAAGTAGTAAATGTAAAAGATCCAGAGATCATCTGTGATGTGTCACCAGGTGGCATTAACCACTTACCATTTTCCAGTGTGTGTTCTTACTAAGCTTTTCATCTGTATAGATTTTGGTACAAACATGGGATTGTGGTCCAGACTTTATCACTTTTACATTAATACATGAACATTTTCTTATCAGTGTTCTACAGTCTAAAAGCAGTATTGTACCTGGGTGTGTTATAATTTTTTGATTCTGCTATCTTGTAACATTTTCAACATGCTGTAGTAATCATCTTTACATCTTATTCTTTTAAAATACCTTTATTTTATCTGAGGAAACTAAAAATGTAGAGAATATATAAAAGCATAAAGAAGACAAAGATCACTAATCTTATGCAGAAGTAAACTTTATATGTGTAACTAGGTGTGTGTGTGTGTACATGTGTACGTGTATGTAATAGCCATCATATTATAAATATTGGTTTGTAACCTCCTTTTTTTCACTTAACATTGTGAAGGTTTTTCCATGTGAAATAAAAGTCTTCATCATTTATAGAGTTACTCATTATAAAACGGTACCATAAATAATTTGACTAACCTCCATTGTTAAGACAGTTAGTTATTTTTATTTCACTACTGTGAACAGTGTTATCAATGTTACAACATTGTTATAGCATTATAAGTATGTTAAGGGTTTATTCTTAGTACATACTATATTTTTATTTTTCAACAGGTGTTTGCATATGATCATTGTTTCTGGTCTATGGATGAATCAGTCAGAGAAAAATATGCAGGTAAGGACAGCATCCTATTAACTACCTATAATATAGAAAAGGTATTTTTATGTTTTTTCCATGAACTATGACAGCATTATTTTATGTAACTTTAAAAACTATATAGAGAACTCTTTCCCATCTTTGCTGTTTTTATATTGCTCGGGAAATAGATTAACAAGGTGCTCTTCTTGGTATAAGACAATGAAGGTAGATTAACAGGGTACATGATTGAAGTTATTACATGCATTCCCAGGCCTTACATGGCACCTGGAGCACACACTAACCATTTAGATTCCTTTCGATGTCTATGATATGGTCTAGAGAGGCAGCTTGATATAAGGAAAGATGAGCCAAGGAGAAAAGGAAACCTTTAGTCCAGGCTCTGCTCCTGCCTGCCTCTGTGACTAAGTAAGTCACTTATGTTTTCAGTGTTTCATTTCTGTCTTTAATGTAGAGATTCTATAGATTTGCTTGGAGTTCTGTTATGCTCTTACTCTACTCAACAATGACTGTCTTCAGTTTAGGACTTATCCACAAGTTTAGGACTATAGTGACAGCCTTCTAATTTCTTTTATTCCTAGCTGCTTTTATGACACCTGTTTCTAAGCAATATTTTTTAAATATTGAGTGTCATATTGTATTGGCTTTTGTCATGAGACAGAGTAGTACTACAGCTGGTTCAAAAAGTTAAGGTTAATTTAGTCTACCTGGCCTGACAAATTACTTACAGATTGCTTCTGTATTGGGAGTAAGAGGATGATATCCTAATCTGGGAAATTAACTAGGAAGTGGGGGATAATGGAGTGCTATTTTTAGCGTTTAAAGTATAACAAACATAACAGCATCTAGTTCTTTCATATTTCATATTCAAGACTCAAAGAGAGTTTGAATGATTTTGTTGGATTATTGACATATTTAATTTAGCCTATGGAAGAGGGTTTGAACCTATTATTTTTGTCCATGATTGAAATAGAAGATTTCTAGAAGAAATTTTCAAGATTTTCCCTCTTCTAGCATGATTGAAAGCTAGAAGAAATTTTCAAGATCTTCCCTCTTCTAGCTGGCATGTATTGTAGGCCCTGTAGTTAAAAATTATCATTGAAGAAAAGGAGAGGAGATTGGTATATATGATTGTTTAATTCAAGTTTCCTGAGGTCCCAGATATAAACTTTGGATATTTGTAATCATCGTTTATAAAATTAGTTCATTAGCTTTTTGCATTGCCGAGGATTTTTGGCCAGTGTTTATTACTTCAAGTTCATATTATCAGGAACTTTTTACTCACTTCCTATCCTGTACTAACTAGAAATACATGAAAGACATAGCCTTTGGAAGCATTCATCAAGTCGAAAAATCCTGTTTGGAAATCTACAGCTTGAAAAAGTACATTTTTGAGGGTGTTGTTTTTAGTTTTTAAAAAGCTGTTCAGAGGCGCCCGGGTGGCTTAGTCGGTTAAGCGTCCGACTTTCGCTCAGGTCATGATCTCGTGGTTCGTGGGTTCGAGCCCCGCGTCGGGCTCTGTGCTGACTGCCAGCTCAGAGCCTGGAGCCTGTTTCGGTCTGTGACTCCCTCTCTCTCTGACCCTCCCCTGCTCACGCTGTCTCTCTCTCTCCTAGAAATTAAAA